ATAGTTACAGTTGCTAAACTATGATTGGATGGTAGATGTTTGGGGGAGGGGTTTAGTGAACGGTAATTTGGCATAACTGTGATCCATAGTTTTGGGTTTCTTGTGGCAAAGAACTTGTGATTTACAGACTAAAGGAACAAGACACCTGCAATTACAAACAAGTGTAATATGCACCTGCTGTGTAAAAGGATACCGTCTGAGCGTGGTGGCCTGTCTGTTTGCAGCACATCAGATTACACAAAATAATGTCTGCAGGCAAGGAAGAAGTTCACATCTTCTGCTGTGACTGTGCCAAGGACACATTATTTCATCACTTAGCATCACAAATGCTCTCTGTTTTGTACACAAGATGGAGAGAGAAAGGGAACAAGGCAAACATTGGTCCTTTTAGGTCTTTGCATTCACTCCCCGAAGAGATATGACATCCTAAAGATCTGAGGATTAGGAAGCATCGTGAAGGCCTCTGGGCATTCCCTAAAGGCCTAAACTGTCTAAATCTGAGGCGCGATATGGCTCCTGTTAGATAAACAAACGTGTGTGTGTGTGTGTGTGTGTGTGTGTGTGTGTGTGTGTGTGTGTGTGTGTGTGTGTGTGTGTGTGGTGTGTGTGTGTGTGTGTGTGTGTGTGTGTGTGTGTGTGTGTGTGTGTGTGTGTGAAAATACATAATACATGACTGCCAGAGGAATATGATTGGCTTTTTTTGTATACAAAGAATGCGATTGAAGAGCGAGGCAGTGTCTTGTGGAGCCTGAGTAAATGCACTGTAAAGGACTTAATGGTTTCATTTTATTTGCAATTTTCTGTTTCCTGAGCACCAGTTTGTTCAAGGGAAAGTGTGGGCTGGGTGAGAGTGAAAGGCAACATCATCCTCAGGGCTTCAAAGCACTCCCAATCCTCCGTATCACTGTCTTAAAGCTCTAAGCTGCAAATGAACATTCAGCATTGGGTGTCTGCCGTTCTGAGTGGCTTGTCAACATTTGAAACTGTCCTTGTAAAACGTTTTGACTTGGGCATCTGTTTCTTGCTGATATATACAAATTCACGACTTTTACAGCTTTCGGAAAATTATCTGTTCTCCCAGGGTGGGAGATGAGTAGTGTGTGTCAACATGAAGTGTAGCCGCATCGTTTTAATGTGCAACAACAAGAGGATGGAGGTTTCTCCTCAAACACGAGCCTCCATTACAAGGCTTTACTAATCCATCCATGCAAATCCATGTCCAAAATGCGCCTTTTGTGTATAATCCCGAAACAATTTCTGTGGGATTAGGATTTAGTAAGGACAAAAATGGCTGCAGACATACAGTAAATCAAAAATATCAGTCAGTATTGTGTTCAATTTGTCTTGTATTCCCCCGGTGCCTTTATATATTACATCACATCAAAGAGCTGGTCTCTCACGAGAAAATGCTGAAGGAGGGAGGTGTGCTTTAGGAGTGCTGCTTATGTGTGACAATAATGTACACAAAACCAGAGAGTTAGTGCGCTCACAAAAGCAGATAAAATGAATGTGTCCTTAATCATCATCACAACATATTCTACTTCAGTTCAGCTTTCTGCTTGCATTAGCATCCTGCATATGGTCAGCAGTCATGATATGTTAAGCACACTCTCTTGGATATATTATCTCCCCAAGCCACCTACTCTACCAGCCAGTCAATCAGCACTCCAGAGTCTCTGGGGAGGAGAGGAGGAAATGTGACATGATAAGAAGCGAGAAGAAAAATTGTTTCAATGCATCTGATATACATGATTAAACAAGACCGATTCACCCCTATAACGTCACGCTATTTATAAATGTAAAGGAGGATTGGTAAGTAAACAAGATTTTGACAGCTGATGATGACAAAACCTTAGGATACAGATTCAGTTTTACCCCCAAAAACAGCAGCCACAGTCACATTTTGAGCAGACGAAAGGCACCAGAATGATTCAACAGTTTTAGAAATTACACTAATTCACATTCTGGTTGAGAGTAAGATGTGAAAATCAATACCACTCTTTTGCACAAAAGTGGTATAAATATTTTCATCTAACTCACACTTATTGCACATTCCCCAGAAGAGTTTGCCATGTGGGAAAATACTTGTAATCACTCGCCATCTGCTTCTAATAAGCATATTTTGTTACGTCAGGATAGAGCAAGGGTTTTCCCTCTCTCCTGTCTTTATGCTAAGCTAAGCTAACTGGCTGCAGTTTCATATTAAGCAAACATACATAAGAGAATGGTATCAATCTTCTCATCAAACACTCATCAATAAAGTGAATAAGCATGTTTCCTAAAATGTCAAAATGTTCCTTTTAATGTAAACATTTTAATGAAAATTGCATGTAACTCGTGGAGCGACAGTGTACATTTCAGTAGTATAAGCAGTTTGTATTGTGTCAAACGGTATAGAAAAATACAGTGAAGAAAATGCAATAAGTTAAAATGTTTAACAGACAAAATTTTCATTATTGCCCTTTCTTTATAGGCTGACTAGAAGGACTTTCTTCTCAAGGCTAATAAGGCTCACAGTTTGTTTACAGCACATTTGAAATGCACTTCTGCGGTCCACCTGGGCACATCTCCAGAGAAGGCCATCTCATTTAACTTATGAATCAGTTAATAACAAAGAAATGCAACCCAATTTGAGTCAAATGTAGAGTTTATAAGCAGGGAGAAAGGGTGCTATTGATTTCCAGAAGGACACGATGCCGGTTTTCATGATAACCTTGCATGCAGAGGGAAGTGCACTAATCTATTTCACACATGTTATCTTTCCCTGGCATGCTCTCTTAAAGTAACACCACCAAATAAATAATGCAGTAATGTTAACTCTCCAAACCGGTTGCTCCAGATATAGCACAGTGTATTCTCGTGTCATTTTTGTTTTAGGTTATTACGGAAGCTTCTACAACCAAGGGGCTTTGCTTAGATAATCTCCTGCTTTGCTTGAGACAGCGTGACGACACATATTCAGAGCACAGCAGTTTGTCTCCAGCTGCAGGGGCAATGTCAATTGTTTATTACCCTTACATTTCTTGTTATTTAAGAGAAAAAAATCCCCTCATTTAAATAGTGTTAGGTACATAGTGTGACTAAACAATTTCTTAAACTGAAAATATCCGTTCTTTGGATAGTTGTCTCTTTGGCCCAGAGACTAATCTTAAACAGTGGCACCAGCTCTGTGAGGGTCAGTGTCTTTACTTGAGGACACTACAGCAGTGTGGATATTGAATTATTCTAATCTCTCGTACAGTTAAGCTTTGCCTCGGGATTCAGATCCTACACAGATTGGTTGGTGGGAGAAACAGATACCTGGGTGCTCAATAGCTGCAGGCACACTACAAATCATCTGTATCTTTCCTGATCTCTCTCCAGTTTCAAGTTGCAGGGGAACCTACAGCTTAAGACATTAGTCACAGGGGAAAGGAGAAGTCACTCACTCAGCACGCCGGTCCATGCCTGTTCCTAACATCTCTCAGAAACACAAGGACAATCTGTGGCAGATTAGTATGATTTTAAGAAGACATTTAGCCTGTCGTGTTACAAGAGAGGAAATATCAGTATACTGTCATAATGAGGCTTTGAAACTCAAGATGGGAGTTTCTTTTACACCTGTATGGCACAGGAAACATAAAAGATTAGTCAAGCTATCACACATATACATGTATACAGTGACTTAAATATTAATGTCCAACAAAAAGCCTCCTGGATGTTATTCCCTATGTTTTTGAGTTAATGTGTATCTATCTCTTTGTTAATGTATTATTTTTTAAGGAACTGCAGGACTTCCTAATGCAAACACCTCCCCCATACATGTAGGGTATATAAGGCGAGACCTGACCCCCAGCAGCCAGGACTGCAAACACTTGGTGAGATCAAAGCAGTGGAACCAGCCCTGGGCATCACCTGACCTGAATTCAATTAAAGCTTTACAGGCAGATCAGAGGGAGGGAGAGAGAAGAAAAAAGCTGTTTCAGATACCTAACATTGTCTGGGACAAAAGTAGGAGCGAGATAGAGGGGAGTCCGAGAGAGAAGAGAGAGATTAAACATTACACACTTGCACTCTTACACACAATCTCAACCTTCCTCTCCCACCCTCCTTCCTTCTCTTTCTGTCTTTTACACACGCACGCACGCACGCACGCACGCGCACAGACACACACACACACACACACACACACACACCCCCCCAAACACCAAACACCAAACCCATAGGTCTAGTTCGTTTACTCAGCCTGTGGGCAAATGTGACTTTAATGAGCCAGTGCTGAATGGACATTAGGCAGAGATTCTCACGCTGGACCGCCGGCCCCAACAGCCCCTCTCGGCTCTGGCATTTTTTGGCAGCCACTTCACAGCACCGTGTCGGGTTCAGTTGTTAACCACATGTTCGAGGAGCTTTTGCTTCTCCAAGTGCATGCACTGATCATTATTACAGCTATGGTGGTTTCTTAGAGGGCACAAGTACACCATCCCTAAACAGAATGAATTGAGAAAAGCAATAAAAAAAAATGCTGTGGGGTTTGTTGCTTTGATTTTGGAGATGAATAAACACAGCTAAACTGCAGGCAACACGCTGAACCGTGCATGCCAGGAATGAGAGACGCATGATGTCAGAGCTGAAGGTGTAACATCATGGATGCCTTCGAGGAGATCTGATATTCCTTCAAACTTTGTGGATTTTTAAATGAATTTCAAGTGCTTTTGGTATGGTAAATACCAATAAAAATGAGCCTGTAACAAAATGTGTTTTTTATTACTGTTTATTTATGAAATGTTCTTTCCTGAAGGTTATAATATTCACAATTAACTTTTTAATTAATTCATTATAAGTGGGATTTATGTGTTAAACATATAATCAGAAAAGCAGAAAGTGAAAAACCTAATGGCTGATAATCAAAGACATCACTTTCTTCATCAGTTGATAATGTGACTTCCTGTCTCTCCGCCTCCTCCGTAGCTCTGTCACTTTCCGAACGGGAGAACTGCATGCAACATCTCGACGTTGCCATTTCTTAACTATTGGGGTCTTCTTTTTGCATTCCTATCAGGCTTACGACATTTCCGATATCACCTGAAGGCAGCAACAGCATGAATCTCCACCTGAACCGTTTTATGGGAGAGGAGCGAGGCGAAGCATAGCCTCAAGCTTAACTGTATCAAGCCACCAAGTGAAATGGCTGTGATCGGATTGGAACAGAAAGCTCCGAAAACTGTGAGGGACTGAAGAGGAATAAAGTGACGGATTCTCACAAACAGAAGCCCCACTCATCTGAGAGATGCTCGCAAAAAAAGATTCAGCAAAAACAGCCAGGATCTATGTGAAGTGAAGTTTGGAGCGGCGATCAGCTGGTCTGGTGAGTAGCTTTAATACAATTACAGACTTGGGTTCTTGATTTAAAGCAGGTTAAAAAGACTCTTAAAACTTTCGCTTCAACTCGAAGCATATTTTTAAAAGCGTCGAGGAAGAATGATTGTTTCGTTCTGACTTGTGCCAAAGAACCAAATGCACAAATACGCACGCTTTGCGCACTCACACGCACCTGCACTCACACACCTGCACTCACACACCTACACAGGCAGGAGCAGTACAAGTTGACAAGTTGTCTAGCTGCATGCAGCACAGGGTTTCTGCAGGCGCACCAGCTGGATCACTGCAGTCCGGGCAAGCGCAGTGAGACAGCGCCATCAATCGCATAGCAGCCACACTCCTGAGTGCCTGTGGAGGGAATGTAGTGCAGTTTTTGGTCTGGGTAGCAGTCAGGACGGATGTGTGGGGAGAAGGGGGGTTGGTTGGTGGGATGTTCCTCCACCATCAGTCACACTGCTCTAATGCCAAAACACAGACCCTGGGACGCACCGCTGGACACTACATATGCAGGCGATTAAAAGACAATAACATTAGTAGGAATAATGAGAAGCATGATAATATCCAGAATATATGTTAAAACACAAAAATTGCAACCACACGCCCGGGAAACTTTGCATTTTCAAGTTTTATTAGCCTATTTGTCATCATCAGGGATGCCATGAACTGCGATTTTATTTGGAAAATACAGTTTATCCACCTGTTTTATGCTAAATTATGATGTGAATTCACTGTGCATTTTTCAGCACAGAGAGCATAAATTATTGTGTAATTGACATGTCTTTGGTGTTTGTTTGCTTTCTCCAGCTTTTGGTCATACTGAGCTCACCTCTCTTTAATTTGTCACAAAAGAGCCTCGTAACGGCACATAAGTGGTTTGGACTGCAGCTGAAGAGGTGCATATTGGATTAACGTTAGTCCCATTTGAGCAGATAGGGTTTAGCCCTTTATAATACTTTCTTAGGTTAGCCCACTGACCTTACCTCAAGAGCACTTGCTTTTGGTCATTTTTAAATCCATTGGAAAGAATAAGAAAATACAGGCTATGCCACATATTTCTTAATTACATTTTTTTAAATGATCCATGTAAGACACATAATTAATAATAATTAAAGCTATATATCATCAAATACATGTATAATCAACATCTGCACACATGGATAATGGTGTTTCAAAGTTTTAGTAAAATATTTTCAGTAAAAGGAATAAATGGCTAAAGAACAGGCTGGGCCATTTAAGTCAAAGTGGTGGTTTGGAGATTAAGGAGACTCAAGTTAAGATTTAGTTAGCCAATTTAATATTTTTAACTACAAATATAATGTCAGCTACGGTAAATCAAAGTATGCTACCTTGGTCCTGGGTTCACAGCGGAAAGGTTTTATCCTGCTGCCAGCCGGTAAGTAGATCCGGACGTGCGCAGCGCGGAGAGATACCGGGCAACTCGAGAGAGGGAGGGAGAGAAAGGGAAGCGGTGAGGGGAGAGAGAGCGGCTACTGCTGGTGGTGGATGGAGTAACGGAGAGGAGACAAGTCCACGTATTACCATGCCGAGATTTGGACTGCATAAACTACCTGCAAAACCTCCAAACATATGAGATTAATAATAGAAGAGGTACGTGAATCGTTGTTTGTAAACGCGGTGGTTCTTTGGCTCGTTTAGCGTTTATCTTTGGCATTTGTGTAACGAGTAAAGAAAGTTGAGATCGGTTAGGTCTGCTATTGTGAGCTGCGGGCTGTGAGAGAGCCGCTGCTGCTTTCTCTGCCTCTTCGGGGGAAGTTTAGTCTCAGAAAAACTATTGGAGTAGTGTTGTTTGTTATTACACCAGGCTTTCTGTCGTTCGTTATTCACCCGAGATGTACTTTAGGTTATGTCGTTGCGTTTGAAAAGTATAGTGCTTTTTCACAAGCAAATCTCGCAGAGCGCATGCACGGCTACCATCGTTTCATGAAGTGAATGGCTTTAGTTGGGGGATGGGGCTGGAAATGAAACAGTCTGCAGACACCTAACTTACTTTCTTCAAAGATTTAATTTTGTCTTAATGGAAACACTTCATTGGTTAAAGGTTGCGATTGAAGGTAAACTGTTTTGTTGTACGTTATGTGTAAAACTAGAAGTTTTAGTTGTAACGTTAGTTGGAATTTTTACAATGGTAGCAGATGGTTCTTTTGTACCTGCAGGCTATAGTTTCAAATGTAAGGTGTTCTTAGTTAAAACTCTGTCACTTATTAACCCAGCATAAAGCATTAATAAGTAAACCATGTTCGGGTCATTTTGACACGCCAAAAGTAAATAATGTAGGTTAGGTTTTATACACAGCACTCCTGCGCAGACATGGCAACGTCTTGCTTTTATTTGTCTTTGTACGGACTCCCACGCAGCCGAGTGGTTGTAAAGCGGCTGTAAACGAATGAATCTGCAATTTTAAAGCAACCTTTAAACCATTTTCTTCCGAGTTCTTTTCCAGTGATTATAGCTTGATGTGATATAAAAGAGCACCCTTGTATTTGATTTACCACGGCATGGTTTCTAATTTATCTTTACTGCCAGAGAAGTCCAGTTTCCTTGTAAGTTATATGATGCTATTACATAGTTGCTGCTGCTTGCAGTTTAAATTACATTTTCAAATCGTTATTGGGTGACCAGATTGCATTTCTATACATAAGGAAAAAAAAGGGCAACTGGCTGATAAATTAGCAGTCAAACGTTGAATACATTTTTCCATCGGCAAGAAAATTAAGGATGTTCTTTGCAAGTTATTTATTTTTATCTTTTTAAGCTGATTTTTGGATAAATTACAGTATTTTCTTCTGTTATGAATTGCACACAGATTATTTGGCATCTGGCATTGTGCAGACGTAGGAGCAGTTGAGGCTAAGATCTTGTCACTTGACTGACTGCACTGCTTTATCTTATTTCCACATGGAACCTATTTAGCTATTTATCAGCCCGGTCGCCACTTGTCATGACATTCAAAGGAGTCTGGGAAAGTGCACAGTTAAAAAAGGAATACGGAATTCAGCATTAAGACTTTTTTTCCATGATGAATAATGTGTTTTATTTATATTATTCAGATTTGACTGTTTTTTGTATGTTGTCATACTAACAATTGTATTTTTTGTGTTTCCAGGTGGTTCTGTGAAGATCACGGTACAATGATGGGGACGCGCTTGGTTTCACTGCTTGTGCTGCTCATGCAGCTCCTCTGTGGCTGCGCAGGGAACCAAAGGATGGCGAGGGCTGCCTCCATGCAATTCACCCAGTCTGTTTACAATGCCACAATATATGAGAACTCTGCTGCTAAGACTTACTTAGAGAGTCACGCTAAGATGGGGGTCTACATCACAGACCCATCCTGGGAGATACGGTACAAAATCATCTCTGGAGATAATGAGAACCTATTCAAAGCAGAGGACTACCTGCTGGGAGATTTCAGTTTTATGCGAATAAGGACCAAAGGAGGCAGCACTTCCATTCTGAACCGGGAGGTTGAAGACCACTACATGCTAACTGTTAAAGCTTCAGAAAGGAGCACTAATTTTGAGTGTCGCACTAGAGTGAAGGTGCAGGTACTGGACACCAACGATCTGAGGCCTCTTTTCTCACCAACATCCTATAGCATCTCTCTACCAGAGAACACGGCCATACGCATGAGTGTGGCCAAGGTCACGGCAACAGATGCAGATATCGGTACTAACGGAGAATACTACTATAGCTTCAGGGAGTGGACGGACATGTTTGCAGTTCATCCAACAAGTGGTGTGGTGACACTGACTGGAAAACTAGACTACTCTGATAAGAAGCTGTACGAGTTGGAGATCCTTGCGGTGGATAGAGGAATGAAGCTGTACGGCAGCAGCGGCTTCAGTAGCATGGCCAAACTCACAGTGAGGGTGGAGCAGGCCAATGAGCATGCACCTGTAATCACTGCTGTAACCCTGGCCCCCTCGGATGCAGACCATGACCCCACCTATGCTATTGTGACAGTGGAGGACAGTGACCAGGGACCAAATGGAGAAATAGCATCATTGAGTATAGTGGCTGGTGACCCTCTTCAGCAGTTCAAGGCTGTGAGAAGCAGCCCTGGGAGCAAGGAGTATAAAATAAAAGCAGTCAAAGATGTGGACTGGGACAGCCAGCCTTTCGGATATAACCTCACTTTACAGGCGAAGGACAAAGGCAGCCCCCCTCAATTTTCATCTGCTAAATTGGTACATGTCACTTCTGCCCAGTTCAAAGTGGGCCCTCCAATATTTGAAAAGGCCGTTTACAGAGTCAATCTTAGTGAATTCGCCCCTCTTCTTACACCTGTCACTATGGTAACAGCTTTGCCAAAGTATCCACAGCTAAAGTATGCCTTTAAACACAAATCTGACAAGAACAGATTTACTATCAATCCAGATACTGGCTTAATCAGCACTGCAGGACCAATCAATGCTGATTCTGCTTCTCGATTTGAGCTAGATGTGATCACCAGTGACAAAAAAGCGGCAACAAAAGTGATCGTTGAAGTGATTGATGTGAATAACAATGCACCTGAGTTCCAGCAGACATCTTACAAGGCCAGTGTTGATGAGAATGTGCCCACAGGGACCAGTGTGATAACTGTTAAAGCCACTGATTTAGACAGAGGGGAAAACGGCTATGTGACCTACAGCATTACCAATATGAGCCCTCAACCATTTGTCATCGACTACTTCTCTGGTGTCATCAGTACCTCAGAGGTCCTGGATTATGAGCTCATGCCAAGGATTTATAGTCTCAAAGTCAGGGCGTCAGATTGGGGATCTCCTTACCGGAGAGAGGTGGAGGCATCAGTCACCGTTACATTAAATAACCTGAATGACAATAAGCCCTTGTTTGAAAATGTAGACTGTGAAGTTACTGTGCCAAGAGATCACGGCGAGGGAGAGCAGATAACAACCGTGTCTGCCATAGATGCGGATGAGCTGCAGCTAGTACGGTACTATATTAAAGCCGGGAATGATCTCGATCTGTTTGAACTGAACCCAAACTCTGGCGTGCTCTCATTGAGGCACACGCTGAGTGAGGGAGAGGCAGCTAAAGTGTCCTTTCATAGTTTACATGTCATTGCGACCGATGGCGAACACGAGACTCAGCCAATGTTCATGAACATAACTGTCATCACAGCACGCAAGCCTGTCCAGTTAAAATGTGTTGAAACTGGTGTCGCTACCATGTTGGCGGAAAAGCTACTTCAGGGCAGCAAAATCCACATGCATACTGAGCTGGATGACAACTTCATGGACTTTCACTCAGTCAACCGGTACCCTCCTCTGTTTGACGAGTCCTTCCCTAGTGTTATTGAGGTTAAAGAGGACCTGCCAGTTGGGGCCCGGATTGTGCATTTAAGTGCCACAGACGCTGATAGCGGTTTCAATGGAAAACTAGTATACGTTATTTCAGGAGGTGACACAGAAAGCCGCTTTGTAGTTGATATGGAAACTGGCTGGCTTTTGGTTTATTCCCCTCTTGACAGGGAAACAACAGACCAGTACACCCTCAACATTACAGTTTATGATCTTGGAATACCACAGAAATCCTCATCACGCCTCTTGGGGGTTAAGGTCCTAGATGCCAATGATAATAGACCTACATTTTTGCAAGATTCGTATTCAGTTGAAATAAGTGAGAGTATACCTGTTGGCACAGAAATCATCCAGGTGGATTCAACAGACAAGGATCAAGGAGATAATGGAGTCGTGAAGTATTCAATTTTGGGAGGCACAGATCATTTTGCCATCCATGAAGACACTGGTGTAGTGACTGTGACAAAGCCGCTTGATCGTGAGCTCCATCCAGTTTATGTCTTAAAGGTCGCGGCCCGTGACCTGGCAACGAACGAGCCTCAGTTAGTTTCTACCGTGCCACTTAAAATCACCTTGGAAGATGTGAATGATAATCCACCGAGATTTGTTCCCCCTAACTATCGCGTGAAGGTGAGGGAAGATCTTCCTATCGGCACCGTTATTATGTGGCTGGAGGCTCACGATCCTGATACTGGACCTTCCAGTCAGGTACGATACAGCCTTATTGACAACGGAGACGGGTATTTTGAAGTAGACAAACTCAGTGGGGCTGTACGGATCGTGCAGAATCTAGATTATGAGACAAAACAGGTGTACAACCTGACGGCAAAAGCTAAAGACAAAGGGAAGCCCATGTCCTTGTCCTCCACCTGTTTCATTGAGGTGGACGTAGTGGATGTGAATGAGAATCTCTACAGGCCTCTGTTCCAATTGTTTACGGAAAAGGGATATATAAAGGAGGATGCACTTGTTGGGACATCAGTAATGACTGTTTCAGCTGAAGATGAAGACAAAGAAAGAGACGGAGAGATTCGATACTCCATACGAGATGGATCCGGCCTGGGGATATTTACCATCGATGAGGAAACTGGTGAGTCTCTTTTCTCAGTGTTACTATAGAACTGAATAATACTGGTGATCATTTCTGAAATAATTTGCATGAGAAATGTTTTATGCAGCCTGAGTTTATTCAGTTCATGTCAATGTATAGAACAATGAGGTAAGGGAGTCTTCCAGCAGACGGGAAAGGTTCCTAATTCCAGTCATTTTTCCTCTTTGGGAGAACGGCACGAACAGACGGACCAGCTGTCTCTCAGACCTCTGTGGACATTCCTGAGTAGTTGCTGTGGTATTACGAAGATTCTAGGTCATTTCACCTCTTTCCACAGTCATGGTGTCGCTCTGTGAATACATACTACTTTTTAAAATAATATCAATTTGGAAAATGGTCATATATGTTGGACTTAAGGTCAAAATACTCTAGTAGCATTTTAGAAATAAATGCATTTTATAACAGAATATATTCATTATCGTACTGAAGGCAGATTTTGCTTGCAGGTTTCTTATTATGTGGCAGAAATATGTCAATACTTGCTCAGCTGCCCAGAATGATTTTATCAGCTGACTCAAATTAGCTAAAAATAAGCAGTCTGGAATTCCAGGAGTTCCTTCCCAAAACCTAGCAATCACCTGATTTGGATGTTTTAGACTTGGCTTGCTGCCTTCCTTTTAAAACTTGCTAACCACATTCTTGTGCAGCTCAATGGGACTTTTTTCCACTGTTTGAAATTAAATTCCTCTCTGCATCATACACATTTAATGTCTAAATGAGGCAGTGAAACTTAATGCATAATACATTGATTTCTCTTGGCACATGTTAACCTTAAAGGTTCATATCTGCATAATACAGCTTGAAATGTATAATTGTCCTGCTGAGATTTACTGTCGTACAAAGACGTTTATATTTGTACAGTAATGTTTATTAAGAATCAGAAATATGTGACATATTCACTAAGTTGACAGGAGCTTTCCTCTGTGATCCTGCAGGGAATGACTTCCTTCTGCTTAGTACATTTAGCATGAGGAGATGAGACTTTATGAAGGGTCTGTCCTGCAGGACTGTGTGTCAGCTGTTGTGTGTTTATGATTGTTCTGTGGTAGTAGTTGGATTTTGATAGATAGATAGATTTTGTTTAATGAACAGTTATGCTGCAAGCTTGAACCAGTCACTATATATGCTGTTCTATTTTTGTTTTAGGTCAGTTTCATCCTATTTATGTACTATATTGACCATATTTGAAGTTGACTTTTGCAAAGGATAATATGTAGGATAAGGCAACATGGATGCCAGCAGCTAGTCTAACTCAAATTCCTATGTAGTGTACAGATTCATGGAGCCTAGTCTGATCTTGTACTTAATCCCAGAGGCCCATACTAAGTGATTATCAGGAGGTGCAATGATAGGATTGTGCTGGGTGGGGTTCTGTTATTATGGATTACATCTGAGGTCCGTAGACAACTAAATACAGCCAAGGTGGTAATGCCCCTCCTTCATCGCACTAGACGAAGGGTGCGGTTTTTACTATATGCATTTAAAATATTTTTGCTTCTAAAAGGAAAATATAAGCATGGGTGCATGCCTGCTATGTATTCAATGCTGCAGCTGCATGTTGTGAATCTTAACCAGAATGTGTTAAAAATGGAAAACAAATGAAAAAGTGGCGTGAGGAAAAATTCCAGAAGCCACCTTCAGTCATGGAATTAGCTTTTTACGGGTGGGAAGGAGTGAGGGAATACGGTTCAAGTCTTTTCCTGTTTTACTAGACCCACGTAATTCTAAACCCAGGCCGTTTTGTTTGTTAAGAGTATATCAGTTTGTTGCCTGGTCTCATATATGTTGTAGTGTTTTTTTTGTTTGTTCTAACACCACAGTATAAATCACTATTCTTTCTGCGGCATACTCAATAAAAGTATCAGCTGCTGAAACATTGCACTGTGGTGGGTGATGCGAGGAAACAGTGAGTGATTCTCCTAGAGTAGGTGTATCTAAAAAATCTCAACAAAGGTTGTGTTTTGAACAGGCAAACAACCCACTTGACTGACATTCCCAAACCACACAAGGTTACATTTAAAAGGGGTATCTGTGATGCTGTTCATAGCATGCCATCATGTTCTCATTTACATCAAGTTCAAATCAAGGAAACCCTTAATATGCAAGCTTCTTCCCTAGATATGGTTCCTATTCTGTGGGACAGCTCAGGGAGTCCATGGCAACTGTTTGCCCAGACATTCTCTGTGTTATTAAAAGCTTTGTACTCACTGGCTTGGTGCCATCTTAATTTAAACCTACTCTTATCAAGACTCTTTTCTGGGCCCCTTTCCATGCTGTAGACCAAAATTACCATTCCTTGTTTTAATCGGAACAATTGCTAATAGTCAGGGGATTTCTGACTGACAGGGACCAAAACTAAACTTTGGTAAACTGAAAGCTTTCCATGTGCTTATTTCTTAACATTCTCCAACCTGCAGATTCAGCAGAAATAAAGCAAGATGGCAATTTTTGTGTTGAATATAAAAAAAAGATTAACTTTAAATCATGGTTTATTCAACCAATTTCATTGACATTTTTATTTCGGAACACAATTGTACTTTGTTTCTCCACCATTATGAGCAGGGGTTGAAGAATACTAGTGAGGTCTGGCTTTGATTTTGCTTGTGCCCTTCATGTCAACCATTCATGATCTTAAAGGCCTCATCTTCAGAAAGGCTTTGCAACTAGCGCTGTTAAACCATCGAGAACTATTTAAAAGATGTTTGGACCCCTGAGCTTGACACGCCCTCAGATGAAACTACGGCTACAGAGTAATCAAAAGAGCTCTCCATATTGTACATGGGCCAATACGGAAGACAGTTGTGAGGGTTTTAGGTTCGTGTGCAGAGCCCAACTATGAATTAAACATAAAAAGTTGTGATCAGTTGAAATCAAAGAAAGTCATACAAACGCTACCAACAGTTGCACTGGTATTAAGGTGAAGACATACCTTTAGCTTTCAGTGCCAGTTGAAACAGACTAGCAATAAAACAATTCTTATCATTATGAACATAAGCAAGTCTCCACTCCTCTAATTATAACTGACTCAGCCTTACACACCTTCAGACACCGGATAACAACCATCAGATAAAATGGCAAGGGTTTTGATTGCCAATGAGTAACAGTCTTTTTATTTCCCTATGATGGGATGACTAAGGGAAGTGACTATGTTCAAATCTAGTTGCTTAGCCCTTACTGATAAAAGTTCAGGTAGACAATTGCAAGAATATGTATAAGTCAAAGGGAAAGGGAAATAATCAATTTCATAGGAGGCCATTTTCAGCCTTTTTTAGAAAACAATTGCACAACTTCATCTAAGGCTGCAGGATGGAGTAACTAAGTAGCTAAGTAGACGACTAACTGGATCTAAGATCTAATGTATATATACACTGTTGCCCAAAAAGTTTGAATAACATATTTGTTACCTCTTCTCATGACATTATTGTGTCTGAAAATAAGATTAAAAAGAGAAATGTGTCTGAAAACAAAACTATTCCAACTTTATGGGCAACATCGATATATAAAGGCAGATATACATTTTATCACCCAATCATTGAGTTAATATCCACAGAAGTAGACCACAGGACAATCCATTTGTGAGTTTCCACTTGAATGTAAATGGTAACTCAAGGCTTTGTTGCTGTGGAGATGATGGCATGGAGCTAGACAAAAGCTTACTTGTGTTCAAAGCAAGTTGTGTCTGAGTTTGAAGGGAAATTATCCAGTGCACAAGGTGACCAAGGCAGAGGGTTCAGTCTAGATGAGACACAGATGCTGATTGTATAATGTATGCATTGCCCTTTCTTGGTGGATAATATATGCATTGCCCTTTCAACGGAAGCTTTTTGCAGCCTGTGCTGTAAATGTGTTCTTCTTTGTGAAAGCAAATTAAACTGTTTGATGCGTAATGACACTGTCCTATTAGTGTTTTCCATTTCCACAACAGAAATGCCTGTCTTTTATTTATTTTTTAGATTCTTAAACAAAAAAGGCATTTGCTTGTATTTGTTCATGGTCAAACGTTTGCCATTAAGTACAGTTTGCCAAAGCTAATTTTCCTTTCAGTTCCTATATGTTTGAGATAAAAGTGGGACAGCAAAGTGGCGCATGACTCCATGTAGTCTTTGCTTGAGTGCTGTTACCGTGGAGACGGGACCAGGAATGTGCAGCGGGACAAAGTTGATTGTAGGTTGCTAAATGAAAAACACACTTTCCCTAGTTAAAAGTATGTTGTCCTTTCAGTCCATTAAATCTTTTTAAAGAAACGTAAGGCTGATTTGTGCAGAGGATGTGCTCCATTGTGTGTTTATTTTTGTCATGCTAAGACTCTTGTCAGTTAGATTTATATATTTCTGTTGATTTACAGTAGGTCTGCAGAGTTTACACTTTTAGAGCAGTGTCTTACACAGTGGACCACAGGGAACATTTAGAAAGCTATATTGATGTTATGTACATATGCTTATTTAATATAGTAACATACAAAACAGTTTAATTAAACAGTTTGTAGTTATTTAATACTTCAAGCCACTGGTGCTGCACAGAAAAACGGCCACAATCAGCAGTTTATAGCATTGTACTACGAAAAGCAGTGATACATTGAAAACGTGCACATCTTCGTCCCAGAGATATAAGAGATACAGACATGATTTTATCCTTTTGATTCTTATCAAGCTACTATCAGCTACTATTTCAAGCATTTAGAGCCAATTTCATGCAATCTGATACCTGATAAGTGACAGGCCTGACCCTAAATACACTGAGGTGCATTAAAGTGTGTTAACTAAATATTTAAAATCTGTCAACAAATCATTTCTGAGTCAACAATGTTGACTACTATATAGTTGGAGGAGGGGTCTATTTGGAGACTATGCAATCACAGTATATCATGTATGGTGTTAACCATTTGGCCACCGCAAAGCTCCCATGAGAGAAGTACTTTGAAACCACATTTAGTTTCCCCAAATGTACGAAGGTTTAAGACTGATAGTAACCTTCAGTGA